ACTTGTAATTTCATAATCATTTTTTCCCTAAACCCGAATCAATGTCACTTTCATGAGACTTACTATAATCTTCCATGTAATTTCAAAAAAATTGTAACAGTGTAAACAAAACCTTGAAATCGAAGAATTTCTCTAGTATTGCACTCTCTCATTCCGAACGATTTATTCCACTAATTTCTCCATAAAAAAAATGTATGAAATATCTCCATTGTTTCTACCCCCGAATGGCACAAATTGAAACTTCAATATTCCGCTCACAAATGATTTCAATTTAAATTGAAATTTACGTACTAAATAACGCACCATCTTCCATCTCCTATCGATTTCCCCCGCAATATCGTGTCTCCATCGGGAACTGAATTTTATTAAAAATCCCCCCCTGAATTCCATAAACCTAAGAATCAAAATCAATACTGTAACAACTGTTCCAGAAAAAGGAAAACCCGCCATTCTCCGAGAATTAAAAATCATTTTCCCCGACTATTCACCAGAATTCCAATTCACAAGTGATAATTTACCCTCAACAAGCTCGATATCCCCATTCCTCGATGATTAATCTTGAAAACTGGGCTGCTGATAATGGCAAAATGTATTCGAACGTGCAAAAATTCTAATTATTATCACCACCTTCCGCTGTATGGTCTCGTTCACTCCTACCTCATTAGTTGTAACTCGAATCGGCCCTGATATTTTTTTCCACTCGAATCAATACGGGAGCCCTCGGCTCCGTTGAGGAGTCGATTTCCCTACCGCATCCCTCTCGTTTCCATTTTCTTGAAGATGTGACGGGGGAAAAATCGCAAATGACTGGGCCATAAATAAAAGAAGAAATGAAATGAAAAGTCAGTCATAAAAATATGAGAAACCGTTGGGACACACTATCAGGATGGCACGCGGGGAAATGTGTTTTTCATTGAGTTTAATGGTGGGTGTGTAATCAGCAGTACAGAGACCGTAACTCATCGTAACCAAATGCCATTTCCGGTGTAGGCATTGGTGTTATGCTCGGGTTTTTCATTATCCTTGAAAGAAAAAATATAGCACGATGTGAAGGTCCAGAAAAATCAGGACGGGCGGATTTACTTGAGGGAAATTAAGCAACTTGACAGCAGAAATTTGACATCTTTCACAAAAATTAAATTTTTGTCGTAATCATCAGAAATACCCCCAGAAGAATTCGAACTGTTGGCAGGAAAAAATATAATCTACTGAACGACAATCATTTTATCTGAGAGAACTCCATAGGTTTATACCATAGAAAGAATTCATTAACGAGGAAAGGATATTTTTCTCCCAAAAAAAATTATCCCCTCGAAATTATTTTGTTTTGCCAACAAATTAATTAATTAATTATTTTGTTTTGTTTTGCATAAATATAAAAAATTAATATAAAAAATAATATGATATTAATATAATAGTATAGTAATTATAGTATTATAATAATATAATTTTTTTTTATTTTTTTTTTTTAATTTACAAAAATTAAATTAAATGGAACTAAATTTTTTCTTCCAGTACAGAAAAGAAAAATTGCAAGAACAGTTCTGTAAAAAATCAAAATCCCGAATTCAGCTTCCGGCTCTGCTGACATTGACAATATTTTTTCCGTGATGTTTACTCTATTTATTTCGAAAATAAAATAGACTAAATAAAGTTTTTTTATGATTAATCTGTCATCAGATGTTGAGGTGCGGTAAAAAGCTGGGGAGCAGAGTGACTCGAATGTACAATCATGACTCAACTGCCGGCAATGCTGACGCTTCACCATCACTGCTGTTTGGCTTGATATAAATGTCTCCCCCGGATCCTGCATTTTGGATGATTAATCGGGACATTTGTAACGAGAGTGAAAAATGCGTAGTACTGAGATTTCCAGGTAATTCCGTAACAGCATTTTCAGTCGTGACATGTGTACAACTGTCGATGTGTTCGCATGAATGTTGTCTTTTGAAATTCCGCTGGAATCGAAGATTTTTGACGTTTTCAGGACAAAATTGATAGGCTAAAAAACAAAAAATGTATTTATGTCATCAAGTGGACGACAAACACTAATAAATCTCCACTTTAATATACAGTAGAGGCTCCGTATAAGATACCTCTCTCCCGAGTCGAGGATTTGGTTCTGATTGGACGTACACAGGTCTTTCAAGATCTCTCCAGACCTAGATGGACCTGGTAAGTCCGAATCAGTTCTGCGACGTACTTTTCCAGAGACCATTCGAATCCTCAGTTCTTTTCGGTCCTGAGAAGCCCTCCTCGATGCTACCGAGAACGCGTGATTTTACGACCGGGTGAAGGGGAAGGCATGTATGCGGAGGGTTGAAATTTGTAGCCAACGAGGAGACAGGGTTGCAGAATATATTTTAGCCACCCTCATCTC